TCTTCATCTCTTGTGTTGATTACTTTTATTTTTTCATTATTCTAGATGCATGTTTAACTCTGAATGTCCGGGAGCAACTGTAAGGTCTGTGTATAGGAGAATGACATCTTTGCAAATAGAAATTGTTTCATCTGACAAGGTAGGAAATCATAATTTATTGCTTGATAATTTCATTTATCTGTCTTATACACTTGACCAATATTCTTGCCTTGCTAATCCAGCATATTTCTGTATTTTTGCACTCTCTCTGAAGATCACAGTAAATGTCACCACTCCCATGAGACTTCCAAACGGATCCTCTGTGTCTTGCTCCTTCGATGATGTGGGTTCAGATATTTGTGACAAACCAGCTTCCCCCTGTTCCTGCACATTTCCAGTTCACAATCTCCCTACAGGAGGTAGTGGTTTCACCTTATTTTTGGGTCTATATTCACTAAGAATGCTGTAATGTGTGGAATTGCTGCCTGTTTGTAGCTGTTTCAGAATTCAAGCTACAGTAATATAGTATCTAAAGTCTAGATGTTAGATTTGTAAAATAAGTACTCCTTGTGTGGTTGGAGCGCTCTGGAGAACCAGACTGTCAGTAAACACTGCAGTCTAAGAAAGATGCCGGAGAAGCGAAGGATATAGTAACAGGTGCCTAAAATAAGCTAATAGCTCTCACTTGCAGCAAACTCCAAGGACTCTGTCTGGCTGCATCAACTTTGATACAAATGGGTTACATGAATTACATTTGCAAGCTGCGTTGAGTAACTTGCTGTTTTTTACAGGCTTTAAAATTGCAGTAAGAATCACTGTAGCAGAGGAGGGAATAACTGAACATCTGGTTGTAAAGAACTGCCCGAATATTACAGCAGCGTCTTCAGTTGCCCAGTAAGTCACTGCGTCCACTGCATTCATTGTGTTCTCTAACACAATGTGCCTGTCCATGCACTCCGTAACCCCCTGTATACTCTACACAGGTGTTATGCGTGTGTCACAAGTGGTTGTACCTGGTCTAGTTCACAAACCTGTTCCTGGCCTAATGGGAAGTTACATCAAGCTCAGGCAGAGGTAAGATCCGGAGCGTCACCTAGAAATATCCAGGAGGTCAGTTTATAAGCAGAACATCCTTTGTCTTGATCCTTAATCACAATTATACCTGCCTTTAGCATGAAAGTCCACTCATTTTTGTTCTCAGTCATGTTAGTCTGCCCAGGGTGGGGGGGCAGCCAGTTGAAGATGTTTTTTCTCCTTACTTGGGAGTTTTTGGTTCTTCTCCTCCCTTGTCACCTGGCTTTCTTTATTTCCTTCCTTCCTTTTTCTCATTCTGTATCACTCACTCTAATGATGTTTCATGTATCACAATACATCCATGAAAAGCACCTTGGGACGACTCTGTTGTGAAAGGCGCTATATAAAAATTAATTGAATTGAAATTGAATTGAACCTTCCCTCCAAATTAGTGATTTTCAGTTGGTGGTTCATTCTTATTCACTTTGGTAGCAGCACCTACCCACTGGATTGTGCCAAATTATTATTATTATTTTTTTTTGCTTTCGCAGGATGTCTGTAAAGACGTCGCCCCTGCTTCGAACTATTCAGTAAGTCAGTTATTTTCCTTGTCCTTCAGTAAATTTGATGTCTGTCCATCATTCATTCTCTTTTGCTCTTTGCATGAGTAGGATCATGGTTGAAATGGAACATGAGGCTGCAATTAATTCAAAATTAACCAATTTAAACTCAAGAACTAGTTAAATGACCTGAACAAATGGGTTTCAGAACCTCTAACACTGGTGCTTCAGTGAATCCCAAGATTCACCCAAAGTCGTCCTTTGCTGAAAATATGGTAGACATACCTATACATTTATGTCTTACTTTATTTTTTTCTGGGAAAGAACAAAAAGATAATAAAACATATAAAGAAATAAAATCTAAATTTTTAAGCTTTAGCTTCCTAGTGGTAAAATGGTTCATTCCATAGTTAATTTGTCGTCATGTTTTGGAATGATGTTATTAAATAGCACCTGTGAAGTGTGTTCCTGCACTCTAAGCAATGCATGCTGTTGTACAGGCGCTAGGGACAGATTACATTCTCCACTGAATCAGGTATATATTTCATTTTTTCCAGGAGCCAGACGTGCACTCTGTTATTCCGAGTGTCGTCTCCTTTCACGGCAAAAACAATGTTAAGATGTTGGGGGAGAACCTTGATCACGTAGCAAAGATACGTCTTCAGGGGACAGTGGAATGCTACTCTGAGGAGTGAGTTTGTCATCATACAGAAATTCCTGTTGATTTCTGGCAAATTTTCTCAGTAAAGCCCATTTATGACTTTCATGAGTTACTTATCGCTTTTATTGTCATACTAGTGACCATCAGAGCACAATGGAACATAGTCCATCCCTTAGTTTCTAGAGTTTTCCAGAATCTGCTCAGTTTGTGAGACATCTCGTTACCATAGTCACAGATGATCATTGACCTCTTGCCCATGGTTTGGGTGACCTTTCCCTGTGACCTTGGAGTTGTGTGTGCAGATTGCAGGTATTGGCCCAGACGGCACACAGCCTACGGTTTAACCTTCCCGGCTGGAAGGTTGATATGATGACCGTTTGCGCATTGTTGCCCGATGGAAGGTGTGTTGGCTCACAGTCAGTCATGTACAGACCCCTGCCACACTGTACTGCCATTTCTCCCAGCAACACCTGGGCCAGGTGAGTCTCCTTTGTGACCACATGGGCCTGCTATGAGTTCAGATTGTTAATAGGCTGAAAACTTCCAGTCAGTCCCTCCTCCACAGAAGCCAGCAATTTGATTAGTGGGTTTGAATGCCAATACTCACTTTCTGCCAGAAACTCCCAATGAACTCCCTCAGATGGATGGTTTGAACACTCCCCTCATGCACAGCACACTAACCCACTGAGACATGGCTGTATACTGTATGAAAATCCGACAGCCCTTCAGCTACTGTGCAAGCCATGTGCAAGTGTCAGAAAAAACTATGCAGCTGGCAGCATTAAAATCGCATTCATTCTTTCTGTATTCAAGCACATATGCAGCAAGCTAAATTTCTAACTTCAGTCCTCGTTTTGGCAAAAAAATTGGTTATCATATTGATTCTGTACATGTGGAAATTCTTATATTAATTTCTGTGGAGGGAGGGATTCCATCAGCAAATCAAAACAAATGACTTATTCAGGGTTAAAAGGAATTTCACTGTGTTGTGGTTTGTTAAGTTGCTGATCATTAGTGATTGAAAGGCACTCAGGACTTCAAAAAGTGAGGCACTTTCAATCTTTCTGGCAATAGCCATATTGACGGCTGATATGAATTTTTCTGTGTCAAAACCAGTGGAGGAAGAAAGGTCACAATCTCTGGTGAAAAGCTGGATTTGGTGGATGGGATAGAGCTGTGCGGAAACGTGCACATCGGGAATTCTAGCTCCGAGGTTAGTAGCCTGCTCATCCTCAACATCCAGTCTTCTCAACACTTTACACAATGACCTCATTGGTCCCTCTCAGTGACTCAGCTTCCCCAGGTCAACACCAGTTCTACCTTACATATGGTGCTCCATGTCTTAAACCTACATTTTCAGAGGTTCGAGTTCCGCACCCCACCCAACCTGGAGTCAGCACCCAATGGGAAGCTACAAGGAGCGTTAATCCTTCTGTGCCTGGCAAACGAAACAAGGGAATGTGTGCAGCTAACATACCTCCCAAATCCCGAATTCACCAGCTTCAAAGCCACACCTGTGGGTAGTGACCTGCGGATCGTCATTGCGGTAAAGACCCTGTAGGCTCCTCTGCTCTGAAGCAGAACCGTTCTTCTGTGGCATAGCTTATAATACCTGATAAATTAATGGTTTGATCACACAGATTAACATGCCGTCTAAACTTCAGTTTGATACATTATGCTGTTATGTATTTATTGAATCGCCCTGAAATCCCTTTCATCCCAAACAACTTACTTCTTATACTAAAGCTCAGGATTACAGGTCGGGCTTCGGCTGGGACTCAGACTCTCGGTGCAGGTGCTGAAACACTGATCTTCTGAGTGAACGTCTCTGCGTTTCAGAAAAAGGTGGACAAGCTAAACTTAACTGGGCAGGAGCTGAACATAACTGCCAAGGTGGACGATCAGCAGCATCAGTGTGAAGTGGAATCGATCATATTGGGTAACGACATGGCAGAGGATTCTGTGACTTGCAGAATAAGCAACCAGTCAAAGGGTAGCATTCAGTCAGTCAGGGTAAGGCGTTCTCTGTCATTCCACTTTCCAGTTGACACGTCATCTATTGGATGTGATTCATTATTTTGGTTTATATTTTTTTTTGGTTCAGATAGTGCTGGGGAATTTCTCAAAGCAGCTCGGGGAGCAAAATACTAATAAATACTACTGGATCCTCCAGGTTTTATTTGCTCTCACCATATGCTTTCTTAATATCACAGGTGAGTTGAATGTAGAAAAGGCCACACGTACCAGTGCCAGTCGCTTATGTCAGATGCAGAAAGCTGGGCCTGTATATTAGTGTCTGGCTCTAACAGCAGAGAACAACATACTGACATACTGCCGGCTTGTTGGGTAAACCAAGCTGCGTATTTCACAGCTTTTTCTGTCTGTTCCTAACGAGGCCATATATGGTTCTGAATAGAGGAAGCTAATTCATTTGCTAACTGTCTTTTGTGTTTGCATGGGGCAGGATTTCTATTGTGGGATTACCATTTCAAAAAGAAGCTGTCTGCAGACATGGACAAGTATCTAGAGACTCTGGAATGTGAAACAAGAAATGAGATCTGACAAGGTCAGTCTGCAAGGCTACTTCCAGTCAGGACCATGTCTCCCCAGTAGTCCCACAGAGGCTCTTCAGTGTGTTATTGTGTGATAAATGTCTGCACACTCCCATTAAGCTACCTTTCATTTCAGCGACACACCTGCTGTTGTGTCTGTGTGGAGTTCTGCGTTTAGTATGTTCCCTCTGACTTTTCCTCAGGCTTTGTTGACATGCAGACAGACATTTAGTGACAACTTAAATAACCAAATATTGCTAAAAGGCTGTGCAAGAAGGCAACATGCTATATGACGCGCAGTTAAAATTAAAGAAAATGGAGTTCCACAACGCTGTTTGTTTCATCCTTTATTATTTATTATTTATTATTATTATAAATAAAACCTCCCTGGGGCAGCATGGTGGTGCAGTGGTTAGCACTGTTGCCTCACACCTCTGAGACCTGGGTTCGAGTCTCCGCCTGGGTGACGTGTGTGGAGTTTGCATGTTCTTCCCATGTTGTCGTGGGGTTTCCTCTGGGTACTCTGGTTTCCCCCTACAGTACAAAGACATGCTGAGGCTAATTGGAGTTACTAAAATTGCCAATAGGTGTGAATGGTGTTTGAGTGTGCCCTGTGATGGGCTGGCCCCCATCCTGGGTTGTTCACGTGCTCGTAGCTTCTGGGATAGGCTCCAGACAACCTGCGACCCAGAAGGATAAGTGGGTTGGAAGATGGATGGATATCCATCCCTACTCACCCCCACTATACAGGTGACTACATTGTTATTTCCACCCATGACAATTACCATATAGCACCAAAAAGAAGTGAAACATACAAAAGACAATAAAGTTAAAATGCAAACACTTTATATATATGTATGGCTCCTACATTCCAGGCCCTAATTATTATATCAATAACAATTACAGCACTTAAACATCAAATAAGTCAAATTCATGTTGATCCATCTTCTTCAAACATGGTCCATGATCTTGGAAGCAAGAAACAAAAGAATCCTCTAGGCCAGAGGTTACTAGCACTTAGCCCAGTACAAGGTGAACTTTACCATCACCCTGTAGTAAAGTCTGTCTCAGTCCTCAAACTTATGAGAATCTTTTTCTCCTGAAAAAGGCAGAATGTGGTAACAGGCCTGTCTAGACAGCTAGTCTTGTGCACCCGGTACACAAGGTGTATATGATCTGGAAAGGTTTAAATAACCAGGAAATGTATCATCAATTATAAGCACTGTATCACCTGGAACAAAGTTTTACTTCACATTTGACCATTTCTAATGTTCCTGTAGTTGTGGTAGGTATTCCAGGTATTCCTTGACCCAACATTTCCAGACATGCTCAGTCTGTTTCCATCTGCACCAAGTGTAAATGTCCTCCTTCTGGAAAACTCCAGGTGGTAAGAATGGTGAAGTCCTTAGAAGAAGTAAATGGTTAGGCATAAGTGCTTCCAAATCATTGGGATCAGTGGACGCCTTAGTTGTTGGATGACTATTAATGATGGCTTCCACTTCACAAAGTATTGTGTGTAGACCCTCTTCACCAAGAGTCTGTGTAGTCAAGATGGAATTAAGAACCTTTCACACAGACCTGACCATCCTTTCCCATATTCCTCTGTCCTGGTAGTCAGGTTGAAGCTCCACTTAATTCCTTTCTGCAAAAGCACATGATTTATACATGCATTATTCCATTGTTCAATGGCTTCATTAGCTCCCATTCAGCACCAACAAAATTTGACCCTTTATCTGAACAAAGTTCCATAACCTGTCCTCATCGTGCCATAAAGCGTCGATGTGCATTAACAAATGAAGCTGTATCAAGTGAAGATGTAATTTCAATATAAAAAGCTCTTACGGCTAGACAAGCCTTTTCACACATTCTCTCCTCTGCAAACTAAAGAATTCTTGCAGAAACGCAGATCCGAAGCCACATTCATTTGCCTCTTCTTCTCACTAAGGGACCCAAGCAAGGTTTTAAATCTAAGAATCCATGCTACAGCCTTCTTCAAATGAATCCAAGAGGACATGTGATTGGTGAAACATGTAACAGGATCCACCTCTTGTCAGGAATGATGACTGGTTAAGTTGGGCACTTGCACACATACAGGTGAAAATAACAGAGTGTATTCGGGAGCAATCCAAAGCCATAGTGAACAGTCCGAGTCCAAAGCAGCAAAAGCCAAAACAGGATCTAAATCACAAATGAAGTGTGTGTGATGAGCATCAGCCAGTAGGAGGGCGAGACAGAATCAAGAGTCGTGCGTAATTTGGCAAGAAGGGATGGCGAGTCTTGAGGTCTGAAGACAAAAAGCAGGGTCAGGAAACAGGCAGGCAGACAGGTAGAATAGAGAACTAGGAAAAGGCTCAAACTCCAGAAGAATCAGGAAGATCTCGCAACCAAGCACAAGATCAGATTAACTAAAATAGACTCCACTGATAAGAACAATTCTAATCAGCTGTGAGGGTGAAGCTACACAGGACAGGAAAATTACTAGTTCAGCCACAAGTAACCTAGGTGGGCACCAAATTCAGGAGGATCAGACTGGTTGGGGTTTCCCTGGGGGCGTAGGCTTTGTGACATCATCCAGGGATCCCCAAGGTTGATCTGTAACAGTATCCCTTGACAGTGGAGTTGACTAACTTAGTAATGGGAAAAGGTCCCATGAACCAAGGAGCCAACTTACGTGACTGGATGTGCAAAGAGAGCTCCTTTGTGCTCACCCAGACCTTCTGGCCTACCTGGAGAAGGGGGCCCTGGGTTCGGCATCTATTCTCATATTTCTCCATTCTGGATCTTGCGTGCAATAATGTCGATTGGGCCAACCTCCAAGTTCAGCTGCAATGAGATAGAAAACGGTGGACAGATGAGACAACCTCCTCCACTAATGATGGGAACAGCAGTGGCTGATAACCCAGACAACACTGGAAGGGAGAGAGGCCTGTGGATGACACTGGTAAGGAGTTATGGGCGTATTCGGCCCTGGGGAGGTAGATACTTTAGGTGGATGGGGAGTGAAGAGTGAGAGGCCAGGAATCGCTGATTCTCTCCAAGTCCTGATTTACCCACTAAGTTTGACTACAGATGGAAACCCGATGAGAGAATGGTCATGGCGCTGATCAGTTTGCAAAACTGCAGCCAGAAGCGGGAGACAAACTGCAATCCCCTGTTTGAAACAATGTCAAGGGGCAGACTGTGGAATCTGAATACGTGCTCGATTAGCAAATGCAGCATCTCCTTAGTAGAGGGCAGTCTTGGAATCGGGACAAAATGAGCAGCCTTAGAAAAAAGGATAATCAACAGAGAGAACCCCTGTGAAACCCAGAGAGGGAGAAAATCCAGTAACAAAATCTAATGCCATATGAGACTGGGGCAATATGGAACAGATAGGGGTTGCAGGCAGTGTTGTGCCAGTTCACACTGAAAAAGAACTGGTTCAAAGTTCAGCTCATTCAAATAAAAATTAACTAGTTCATGTTCATAGTTCATTTTTTTAAATTCTGAACTAAGTTCACAGCTCCGAAAATGAACTAGTTCACGTTGTTCATTCGTTTTTGTTTTTAACATTTTCAATACGTCTTTCTACCTGAACCTCCTTCAATTCTCTCCTTCTATCTGTCATATACCACTGAACAATCACAGACATGAGTTTCATTAAAAAGATTAAGCTACATTAAAAACCAATTCTGAAGTTGAGAATCAATCTTACCACTCGTGTCATGTTATGCTAACAGTGAACTTGCTGTTTTTTCATGGTCTTATGCTTTGTTAATAATTTTTTGTGCTCATCATTAAGATAAAGGTATTCCCTAAAACTGCTTTGATACTTTAACTTGATGTGTCATTTCAAATTGGATGCAGATGTGGCTGACGTCCGGACTTGTTTTTTCAAACCAGGTGGGCATAATTTGCATAAAAACGTGTGGTTTTTCCTATCTAATTCTACACCGATTTCTTCAAAAAATGGACTCAAATGTTTAAACAAACTGTCTTCAGCAGAAGCGTCTGAATTCGAAGCACCAGCCATACTAGCCTGTAATTGGCAAATTTCAACACCATCATAAAACGTGAGGTCGTTCAGTCTCGCGAGAGCGAACGTCACTCATGTTCACGTTCATAATTTGTAAACTGATTCGTTCAGTTCAGCATTCACGAAAAATATGAACGTGTTCAATGAACAACACTGGTTGCAGGAGACCCACCGGGGATTGAGAAGGGGCCTTATTCCAAGCACAGACATCACAGGTGGCCACAAAACTGCGGATATCCTGGCATACTGGAGGCCACCAAAAGTGTTGTTCAACCAGGGGTCGATGTGATGAACCCCTGGATAGCAGGCCGAGAGGGCTGAGTGCCCCCACTGGAGAGTCTCCATTCTTCCATGGCCAACTTGACCGCCAGCAGTTCCCAGTTCCCTATGTCATAATTCCCCTCCCCAGGAGCAAGCTTACGGGAGTAATAAGCACTCAGGTATAATTTGCCTTTGGGACAGCACAGCCCCTACCCCAGTTCCTGATCCGTCTACCTCTACCACAAATTGCTTTGAAGGGTCAGGAATATGAGGCATGGGTGCGGA